CTCCCCAAAGATGGTGCCAGACCTGCTGAATTTCTCCATAAACTTCTGTTTTTGTTTATTTCAGATCTCCTACATGTGCAGTTTTGTTTTAGTTGAAAAGGAGATATTACTCGAACTAGACTAAAAATCAGCCAACTCAGGCAGGGCAAAAGGGACTCATTCATTTTCACCCTAAAATATTGACCTCTACAGAAACTTTACAATGATTTCACTTAGAAACCCAGAAACTTCCAGAGAACCAGGACAGAACCCCCTTTTCTGATGAAGGGTCTAGGCCCGAAACGTCAGCCTCTCTGCTCCTATGATGCTGCTTGGCCTGCTGTGTTCATCCAGCCCTGCACCTTGTTGTCTCGAACCCCCAAGGTCTGCATTGTGTACATCTTTAGGATTAAAATCTTCTCAAAAGATTACTTTATGAATTTCAGCACATACCCTCAATGCATGCTTTATTTCTAGAATCCATCCCTAGTTGATTGTGTACACGGGGGAATGAGGATGCTCTATCATGTTTACTTTTTGACGTGTGAGTAACCTCCATTGTTTCTTCTAACTTGAAATTTACCCAAAAGCCCGCATCATACTTGTCACTGAAAATCACGATACTCTAAAGGTTTAAAACATTCCCCTGCAAACACACATGGACAAAGGAGAGGTGAGATAGCACAAAAGTTATCCCAGCATCTTTCCCACATCATAATGAATATAAAAACAGAAAGGAGTAGAATTGATTAATCCAGCTACAGTTAGGATTCCTTTAGCAAAATACTTACTTGAATGGATTTTGCTGAAGTCCATGGTGTCGACCATTGTGGGCACGTGTGATCAGAGTGACCCTTTCACTGGTTGTCAGACCCAAGCAGAAAATCTAGAAGAGGCAGAAGCACTTTATAGTCTCTCAAATATTTTTGCGTTCAGTCCTGTCTGTTTAAAATGAACGTTTATTCAGAATGATGATTCAGCCTTTAAATAACTAATGAGAAATCCATTGATATGCATAACAGCAGTCATTACCTGGAACTTTCCACTGAATCAGATACAGAGACAGCGAGTGAGCCAGAGCGGGTGGTGGGAGGTGAGGGGGTGAGACAGACAGTTGGCTGGGGGGGGGGGGGGGGGGGGGGAGAGGTGGTGGCTGAGTCAGGCAAACAGGGAGGTGGGGAAGGCAGTCAAGGAGCGAGAGAACACAAGTCCAACAGGCAGAAATAATTATTTATACAGCAATTGTACAGAGAGTGTAATGAAATTAAACATGGTGCAGCTACACACTCAAAAGCTGGCTCTCAAATTTTCACATGCTGTTACGTATATTTTTTGTTTATTTACACACTTTGAGACTTAATGTGACTGTCTCAGTAACTGATGAAGAAAAATGGGTCACATTTGAAAGAAAGAGGGGCAAGGGTCTTTTTGTTTTCTAACTTTTCAGATTTCTTGGTCAATACATGACCACATGGATTCTCTATCCCAGAGGACTGTGCATGTTCCCGTGTTGACCATATTTATGGTTGGGATAGACAAATTCTTCATCTCCCAGAGTACCGAAGGATTGGGGAGGACCTCCACCTACAGGACCTCTCTGGTTTAAAGATAGCAGTCGGACCAATGAACAAGAATAAATTATCAATTGGAGAATGTGGGTCAGCAGTGACATGGTGGTAATGTCACTAGACTAGCAATCCAGAGACCCAGTCTAATGCCTGATGTTCTTTCAGAAAGGAAATCTGTCATTCCTACCTAGTCTGATCTACATGTGACTCCAGGCCCACAGCAATGTGGTTGACTCGTAACTACCTTTTAAAAGACCTCGCAAGCCAGTCAGTTCAAGGGCAGTTGAAATGAGCAATAAATGCTGGTGATGCCCACATCTCAGGAATATAATAAATGTCTCTCAATGCACTGGCTCCAAGAAGAATGCAACATTTTTATTGTTAGAAGAACGATGTGGCTGAGATTCTAGCATTGATTTTCTGAATGCAAGGATCAACAACAGGATAAAAAAAGAGCACTGAGGCCAATGTGATGATAGACTAATAAATTGATATTCTTGTTTTCAGCCAAATGAACATTGCACTTGGTTTGTGACTGGAACATACAGATGACGAGAGAAATTAAAAAGCTAACCTCAAAGAATGTAAATCCACCCAAAAAAAAGTGGGATACTTATGGTCACAAGAAATCCTGTACCAGTATGTGAAGGACATGAAGAATTCCAATTAAATATTACTAAATGTACTCATTAATTTAAAAAAACCTGAAGGCATAGACAACTGTTAAATCTCTCGTAGTAATAGCTGATATTTTGCCAAACACTGTGGGCCATTTAGATTTGACCATACTTAAAGATTTAAAGATTAAAGAAAGATAGGACACGTGTTTTCATAGTGTTAAAATAGACCACTACCATGGGCATCAATTAGTTACCAATCATTTGAACAGATAGTTTGCCAAACTTAATGTTAGGTCTTAATGAAGCGTAAAACATCAAATCACATTTAAAAATATTAATCACATCTTAATCACAATAGTGGAAAACAGAAATTAATTCATTTGATTGTACAGCTACAATTCTTAAAATACAAAAATAGTTGCATTGGAATGCTTTCATGAATGTATGTAATGTATATTAATACTTATCAAGAATTTTGATCTAACATTCGGCAATGGGTTAATTCCCGAAATATTGCCCACTTTTCTCAAGTATGTCAATAGCATCACAAGAAAAGACAAGTTATTGAACCTTCATATTGCACAAATTTAATTCCATGTCAAATCCAATGTTACTATCTTTACCTGATAGAGCTGGTTTAATAACAGGAATGTCACCCATGAAGAATGGAACACCACAAGAAGAAAAATCCATATTATCCATGGAGAGCATGAAATTATTTCGGTCAGGAATATCCACAGTCCATCCTTCTCATAGCTAGTTGAACAGTGCATGGACCAGTCTACAAGAGTAAAACAGTATATGGTTATTTCTTGAAATGCGTGCAGACAAGTATTCTGTACACCCAAGCCTTGACACAATAATCAAATTTTAATTATTAGTTGGCTAGACTTAATCATCAGCATTTCATGTCTATTTCCAAACTGAATTGCATAGTCCCTCAAGGGTATTTTGCTTCCAGGAGGACAAGTAATTAAGATCTCATATTAGGGTTAGATAATGCACAGTCAGCGTGCTCACAAACAGCTGCTTCTGGCAAAATCCACTTAAATATGCAGTATAAAATTTTAAACATCCACTCCAGCACACTAGCACTGTATGCTAGAAAATCCATGCAAATTACAAGTTCAAATGAAACATAATATAAAACAAACAGTTGCAGATTCTGGAGATCTGAAACAAACAAAAACAGAAATTGCTGGAGAAACTCAGCAGGTCTGGCAGCATCTGTGGAGAGAAGACAGTTAACATTTACAAGTCCAGTGAGGACTTGAAGTATTGAATCTGTTTCTCTCGACAGATGCTGCCAGACCTGCTGAGTTTCTCCAGATTAGGAAAAGGAGCTTGTTATTTATTGGCTTGAAGACAACACAGTCCTGAAGGTCTCCTGTGGTGCTGGGGTTACATACCTTTGAGCCAGAGGGTCTGGGTTCAAGTCCCACCTGCTCCAGAGATGTATAGTAACATCTCTGAACAGGTTGATTAGAAAATATTTACAACACTGCGCTGACAATGTTACACATGAGCAAAGCTGAGTCAGGCGGGAATGCTACGACTAAACCAAAGACTTGATGTCACATGGTTGCTAGAATGGTCATAGTCTCAAGGATTAGAAATCAGTCAATTGGTACTCAAACAAAATAATCTTTTTTTGGAGAGTTGCAAATCTTTGCAATTTTCTACCTTATAGGATTGTTGATGCCTATTTATCAAGTTTATTCAAGATTGAGAATCTTACAGAATTAATGGATCAGATCGGGGGAAGCGATGACCTAGTGGTAGTATCACTGGACTGTTAATCCAGAGACCCAGATAATGTTCTAGGAACCCAGGTTTAAATCCCGCCATGGCAGATGGTGGAATTTGAATTCAATAAAATATCTGGAATTAAGAATCTAATGATGATCATGAATCCATTGTCGATTGTTGGAAAAACCCATCTGCTTCACTAATGTCCTTCAGGGAAAGAAACTGCCATCCTTACTTGGTCCAACCTACATGCGACTCCAGACCCACAGCAATGTGGTTGACTCTTAACTGCCCTTTGGGCAATTAGGGATGGGCAATAAATGTTGCCTGGCCAGTGACACCTTCATCTCATGAACGAGTAAAGAAAAAAAGATCAAAGCTCTTCAGTTTTGCTTCATCTGTTGAAAATGGTGGTGGCCAATTAAACAAAATGGAGGTGCTGATCCCTAAAATTCTCCTCATCCTCAATGGTGGGGAATCCCAACACATCAGTGCAAACAACAAAGCTGAACTATTTGCAACTACCTTCAACCAAAAGTGCTGAGTGGATGATCCACCTCAGAGCTCCCTCCTGAGGTCCCCAGCATCACAGTGTCAATCTTCAGTCAACTTGATTAATTTCATGTGAAATCAAGAAATGGCAGAAGAGAATGGATGCAGCAAAGATTGACCCCTATCAATATCCCAGATGTAGTATTGAAGAATAACGCTCCTGAACAAAAACAAAGTTTCTGGAAAAGCTCAGCAGGTCTGGCAGCATCTGTGAGGGAGAAAACAGAGTTAACGTTTTGGGTCCAGTGATCCTTCCTCAGAACGCTCCTGAACTAGCTATGCTCTAAGTCAACCAGCTTCAAAACAGCTACAATGCAGAATATTTCACCAGGTATGCTCTGTCCAAAACAAAACAAGCAAAAATAATCCAGTCAATTACTACTTCAGACATCTCTTAATTATCAGCAAAGTGATAGTGCTTTTCCTATCATGTTGCACTCACATACCAATAACCTGCGCACTGATGCGCATCTTTGGAATTCTTCATAATCTTGGTCCAAATATGGGCTATTGGGCTGAACTTGAGAGGAAAAGAGAGGGACTGCCTTTAATCTCAAGATAGCATTTGACCGAATACGGCATCAAGAAACCTTAGCAAATATAGTCAACAGGAAGCAGGAGGAAACTCTGTTGATTGTAGTCATACCTAGCACAAAGAATGACAATTATGGATGCTGAAGGTCATCCACGTGAGCCAAGGATATCACTGCAGAAGAAGCTCAGAACAGCGTCCAAGGCCCTTCACCTGCTTCAAAAGACCTGAAGCAATCTATGCTCATATGCATCAAAATCTGAACAACATTCAGACTTTGGTTAACAGTTGAGATAGGAGTTGGTTGACGGAGGAATGGAAATGCACTCTTAACTTTGTAGGACAACAAAAAAAATTGCTAAAAAGAGAAACGGAGTCAAAGAATTTTAGAGTCATAGGGCCTGTCTCTGTGCTGTAGGCTGTTCGGCTGAAACTGGTCCAAGCTGAACACACTAACCCCATTTCCCTGCACTTCTAAACCTTTTTATTCCATGTATTCACCCAAATGCCTTTTAAATGTTGTTAATGTACTCACCTCAACCAGTTCCGCTGGCAGCTCGTTCCATATGCATATCACCCCGTGTAAAATAGTTGCCCCTCAGGTTCCCATTTATTCTTTTCCCTCTTGCCTTAAACTGATGCCCTTTAGTCCTCGTTTCCCCAGCCTTGGGAAAAAGACTGAGTGCATTCACTCTATCCATGTCTTTCATGATATTATACACTAAGAGATCCCCACTCAGTTTCCCACACTCTAAAGAAAACAAGTCCTAGCTTGTCCAACCTTTCCCAATAACTCAGTCCCTTGAGTCCTGGCAACATCCTTTTAAATATATTTTGCACTCCTTCCAGTTTAATAACATCCTTCCAATAGCAAGGTGACCAAAACTGAACACAATACTTCAAGTGCAGCCGCACCAACGTCCTGTACAGCTGCAACGTAACTTCCCAACTTCTATACTCAGTGCCCTGACTGATGAAGGCTAGTGTTCCAGAAGCCTTCTTCACTGCCCTGTCTACCTGTGACTCCATTTTCAGAGAACCAAGGATGTGAACTCCAAGGTTCCTCTGTTCCACTACACTCCTTAAAGCCCTGCCATTCACCATTAAACTCCTACCTTGATTTGACTTTCCAAATGCCACACCTCACACTTATCTATATTAAACTCTATTTGCCATTTCTCAGCAAACATCCCCAGCTGATCAAGTTCGTGTTGCAATTTCCGATAACGTTCCTCACTATCCACGATACCACCTATTTTAGTGTCATCCGCAAGCTTACTGATCATGCCTTGTACATTTTTCATCCAAATCATTGATACAGATAACGAACAGCAATGAGCCCAACACCGAACCCCGAGGCACACCATTAGTCATAGGCCTCCAGTCCGACAAGCATCCTTCTACTATTACCCTCTGCTTCCTACCACCAAGCCAATTGTGTATCCAACTTGCCAACTCTCCCTGGATTCCATGCGATCTAACCTTCCAGATAAGCCTGCCATGCGGAACCTTATCAAAGGCCTTACTGAAATCCATACTGCCCTGCCCTCATCAACCTCCTGGTCACTTCACCAAGAACCTCTAACAAATTTTAGAGACATATCTCCCATGCACAAAGCCATGCTGACTACTCTGACTCAAACCGTCTTTCTAATTGCATGTATATCTTATCCCTCAGAATCTTCTCAAGTAACTTACCTACCACAGATGTTAGGCTTACTGGTCTGTAATTCCCAGGTTTTTCTTTGCAGCCCTTCTTGAATAAGGGCACAACTTTCACTACTCTCCAGTCTTCCGGGACCTCACCCATGGCTAACAATGATGCAAATATATCAACCAGGGCCCCCACAATTCCTTCTCTAGGTTCTTGGATATATCTGATCTGGACCAGGAAATTTATCCACTTTCATACATTCTAATACTTCCAACACCTCCTCTACTGAGATATGGACTGTCCCAAAGATATTGCCACTAACTTCCCCAAGTTCCCAAGTCTTCATGTCTTTTTCCACAGTAAACACAGAGGAGAAATATTTATTGAGGTCCTTGCCCATCTCCTGTGGTTTCACACGTACATGTCCACTTTGGTCCTTGAGGGATCCTATTGTCTCTCTGGTTATTCTTTTTCTTTTAATATACTTAAAGAATCCCTTTGCATTCACCCTAATCTTCTCAGCCAAAGTTATCTCGTGTCCCGTTTTTGCCCCCCCCCCGATTTCCTTCTTTAGTAAACTTCTGTATCCCCCATACACCTCCAGGGATTCCCTTGTTCCCAGCTGCCTGTTCCTGAGCCATGCCTCCTTTTCTATGGTCAAAGCCTCAATATCTTGACATCCAGAGTTCCCTACTCCTGCCAACCTTGCCCTTCACCCTCAAAGGAACATATAGACATTATAGACATTCGGGGGTGGCTCAGTGGTTAGCATTGCTGCCTCACAGCACCAGGCACCCGGGTTTAATTCCACCCTCGGGCGACTGTCTGTGTGGAGTTTGCACATCCTCCCCGTGTCTGTGTGGGTTTCCACTGGGTGCTCCGGTTTCCTCCCACAAAGATGTGCAGGCTAGGTGGATTGGCCATGCTAAATTGCCCATAGTGTTCAGGGATGTGTAGATTAGGTGGGTTATAGGGGGATGGGTCTGGGTGGGATGCTCTGAGGGTCGGTGTGGACTTGTTGGGCCGAAGGGCCTGCTTCCACATTGTAGGGATTCTATGAAAAAAAAAGTGTGATAGCTAGAATTCAAAGGCCTCCCACTTGCCAGAGATCCCTTTGCCTGCAAGCTCCTGTCGAATTCCATCAAAATTTGCCTTGCTCCAATTTAGAACTTGAACCTGTGGATCAGTTTTGTCCTTCTCCGTAACTTTTTAAAATTAATAGAATTATGGTCACTGGTCCCAAAGTACTCCCCCACTGTCACCTCAGCCACCTGTTCTGCCCTATTTCCTAACAATAGGTGGAGTTTTGCCCCTTCCCGAGTAGGACCTTCTATATACTGCTTGAGGAAACTTTCCTGAATACATTTAAAAAATTCCACCCCATCTAAGTCCTTAACACTATGGCCCAGTCTATGTTAGGAAAATTAAAATCTCTGACAACCCTATTGCTCCTGCAAGTCTCCGCAGTCTCCCTGCGTATTTGTTCCTCTAATTCTCATTGACTATTTGGGGACCTATTGTACTACCCCAATAACGTCACCATCCCATTCTTATTTCTTAGCTCCACCTACAAAGCCTCACTGGATGATCCCTCAGTTATTTCATCTGATTACTGCTGTGATACTCCCCGTAATGGAAAATGCAACTCCCCATCCCCGCATTCCTCCATCTGTCCTGCCTAAAGCATCTGCATCCTGGTACCTTAAGCTGCCAGTCCTGTCCCTCCCTTAGTCATCTTTCTGTAAAGGCTATAATTTCCCAGCCCCACGTACCTATCCATGCCCTGAGTTCATCAGCCTTGCTTTTTTTGTCTTTATTCATTAAAGGGATGAGGACGTTGCTGGCTAGGCAGCATTTATTGCCCATCCCTAATTGCCCAAAGGGCAATTTAGAGTCAACCACATTGCTGTGGGTCTGGAGTCACATGTAGGCCAGACCAGATGAGGATGGCAGTTTCCTTCCCTAAACGGAGATTAGTGAACCAGGTGAGTTTTTCTGACAATCAACAATGGATTCATCGTTATCAAAAGACCCTTAATTCCAGATATTTTATTGAATTCAAATTCCACCATCTGCCGTGGTAGGATTCGAACCTGGGTCTCTGGATTAACAGCTCAGTGATAATACCACTAGACCATTGCCTCCCCTGTCAGCCCTCTGACATTGGAATAGATGCAATTTAATCCAACAGGCATTCCTTGATCCCTGTCCTGTTCCAGCCTAACCTATCTCTTGAACTTGCTGTTTCTGATTACTGTATCTCCTTCCAACCTCGCATTTGCCTCCCTACTGTTACCACGCCCCCCGCCCACCCCCACTCAATCTAGTTTAAACGCTCCCTTGCAGCACTAGCAAATCTGCCTGCTAGGGTATTGGCCCTTTTCCAGTTCAGGTGCAACCCGTCCCTCTTGAACAAGTCACCTCTGCCCCAGAGAAGATCGCAATGATCCAGGAATCTGAATCCCTGCCCCCGGAACCAATTCTTTAGCAATGCATATCCTCCTGTTCTTACCCTCAGTAGCATGTGGCACTGGAAGTAATCTGGAGATTACCACCGTTGAGGTCCTGGCTTTTAACCTTTTTCCTACCTATCTATAATCACTCCGCAGCACCTCATCACTATTTCTACCCACGTCATTTGTGTCAACAATTTTGTCTTGCACTCATCAGGACTGATGCAAGAATCCAGGCTTAGAGAGGGAACAGCAATTTAGCTGTGGAACAGCTGATTGGTTGTAACATTCCATACATTGCATCCTTCTCATGGAGGAAAGGATCACGAAGACTGCCAATGCCTGCTGCATTTCTCATAGCAACATCCTGACCAATTGGAGTCAATCTGACCGGCCTGAGTTATTTTCAGATGATTGACAGTTAACAGTTTATGCTGTATCACCATGCCAACCATGTTCAAACAGTCATCACCCTCTACATTCTGTATGAATTAGTGCTCCCTTTCTGACCAGTTTCTTGCATGTTTGTCCTGTTGAGTGCAACATGAAATTCTTTCACTTTGTGTGTCTTTTCATCTACATTTAAGTGAGTGGCACATCACCAAGACAGCATAGGATCACCTGAATACGATAATTCTGACACTGTGCCACTGAGAGCAAAATTAATTTTCACAATTTAAAGTTTTCTGTTTGCCTTTTGTACAACTATATGACAATTAGCACTTAATCACACTGCATGAGATTTGAATTGAGTATTTTGAAAACAGCATTATATTAATTAGAAAAAAAGGATGGTTGAAGAAAGTCACTTACACACAACAGTTCCATAGCCCATCCAGACAACTACTGTAAACAGGAAAAACAGGAAGCTAACAAAATACCGTTGATTCAATGCACCTGTGTAAAAAGAATAAAACCTGTGGTGAAAGAACTCAAAACAAGCAATTTAGATATTAACTTCAAGTAGTTTTCTACTGATTAATATTGCTTAGCAATCATTATAGCAGATAGCCTTCCTGTCCTTCTACAATCTTCAACATTACACAAAAATTATCTAGACTTATGTTCTAAAATAGCAAAGCTTCAACAAAGAAAGGATTAATGCTGGAGTCAAAGGAAAATGTTACACATTTGTAAGCTAACTGAAATATTCTGATTAAGTGGCAAAGGATTTGGATCCTAAGGTTTAAGGTAGCACACTGAATGATAGGGAGCAGAGATTTATTTATTATTTAATTAAAACATGATAAAAGGTGGCAGGGAAGGTGATGTTTTACAGTTTCAGAATGTGGGATTTCCTGAATACTAGTGTCATAGACATGAAAGTCTGCAGGTCCACATTTCGAGCAGCTTCAGCTCAGAGTTTGAACTGGAAGCCAAACTACAGAGAATACGGCACATTATGGAGGGGGAAAATGTCACCTGGACACTGTATAGCAGGAAGCGAGCAATTTTGGGTCCCATATCCAAGGAAGGATGTGCTGGCCTTGGAGGGGTTCCGGAGGAGTTTTACAATAATGATCCTGGAGATGAAGGGCTTATCATGTGAGGATTAGTTAAGTACTCGATGGAGTTTAGGAGAAGGAGACAGGATCTCACTGAAACTTAAAGAATACTGAGAGGCCTAGATAGAATAGAAATAGAAAAGACGCTTCCACTCGGAGGCGGGATTAGGATCTAGGCACAGCCTCAAAGTAAAGGGAACATCCTTTGGAACTGAGATGAAGAATTTCTTCAGCCAGAGGGTGGTTAATCTGTGGAACTCATTGCCACTGAAGGCCGTGGAGGACAAGTCATTGAGTATAGTTAACACAGAGATAGATAGGTTCCTGATTAGTCAGGGGACCAAGGGTTACGGGGAGAAAGCAGCAGAATGAGATTGAGAAACATAGGCTAGGTGGATTGGCCATGCTAAATTGCCTGTAGTGTTCAGGGATGTGTAGATTAGGGAGATGGGTCTGGGTGGGATGCTCCGAGGGTTGCTGTGGACTTGTTGGGCCGAAGGGCCTGTTTCCACACTGTAGGGATTCTATGATATCAACCATAAACGAATGGCAGAGCAGATACGATGGGCTGAATGGCCTAATTCTGTTCCTATATTTTATGGTTTATGGTTTAAGTGGTCACGTCACTTAGGTCTTCTAATTTGGTCACTGGTCAGAGAAAGGAGGGTGCAGCTGCAAGTGAGGCTGCTTGGTGACCCAGAGGGCAGGAGTACAGGAGCATCAGCCTTTACAATTATTCAATAAGTTTGAGGTTCTCTTGCTTTGTTTTGGATGACAGCAAGGGATGAGCTTGTCAAATGAGGGAAAATGAAAGGAATACAAGTCATAGCAGGTAACAGAACAGTGAGGGTGACTCACACTGTTCTATGCAGCAAAAAGCAAGAGTCCAGAAGACAATGTAGTGTCCCCAGTTCCAGGGTCTGGGACATCTGCTCAGGGCTGGAAAAAAAAACAAGGGCAAGGGGGAGCATTAATCATCATAGCCCAGGTAGATACTAATGACATAGGTAGGACCACAAAAGTGTTTCTCCATAGTTAGTACGAGGAGATAAACACTAAATTAAGCAGAACCTCAAAAGTAATCATCTCTGGATTATTAACTGAGCTACCTGAGCATAGGGCAAATAAGATTAGAGAAAGGAGTGTCTGGTTCATAGACTAGTGAGGTAGAAATGAGTTCCAGTTCATCAGGAACTGGCACCAGCATAGGGAAAGTGAAGTTTACACTGTTAGGACAGTCTTGACCTGAACCATTATGAACTATAATGGAAGCAGCACTCCAGTGAGTCATGTAAGTGGGAAAGTCGATAGGGTTTTAAATTAAATGGTGGAGGCAAGGCACCAAATTAGGGAAGATGTGGGAAATTAACAAGATGAGGCAAGGCAAGAAAAAAAGGTACTAGTATGGGAAATGGAAATGGAAAATAGCCATGATAGGAAGGGTTTAATTGTACATATCAAGGAGTAACCAAAAGATAAAGCTAGAGATTACAAAATAATAAGGGTAAAACTAACAGTTCTGAATCTGAATGCACACTGCATTGAAACAAAACAGATAAACATACAACACAAATAGAATTCAAAAAGTACAATCTGATAGCCACTACAGAGAAATGGCTGCAGAATCACAAATTATTGAAAGCTACATGACATTTAGGAAGGACAGAAAGCTAGGAAAAAGTAGAGGGGGGCTCTGTTAATTCATGATGGTATTAGCACAATAATGAGGTATGACTTAAATTAAGGAAACCAGAATATAGAAGCACTGGATGGTGCTTAACAAAGAAATAGTAGGGGTTCTCAGAAAAATCATGGAGGATGTTAAAATCCATATACCTAGTAGAAAAACCAGATCAGCAAGGTATCCTACCTGTGGAGTTCATCGAATTTTATTGGGATCGTTTCCAAGAAGAACATGTTCTGAAGCCAGAAAGCAGGCTATACCCAATATGGTACAGTACAATGAGATAAGATTAATTAGTGACCTCTTAGGAATGGCATCCCTAGGGAGCAGTGACCATAATATATGATTGAATTCTACAATTTAGCTTGAAAGAGAGAATGTGCCCAATACTAATACTTAAGCTTGAACAGCAGCAGTTGTAATGGAATGAAAACAGAGCTACCTAAAGTGAGCTTGTAAATTAGGTTAAGGGATAGATCAACAGACAGATACAGTGGCAGGTATCCAAGGGAATATATAAAATAGATACGTTTAGCAAGAATAGTTCCAAAGGGAGGCCTCACCGTCTGTGGTTAACTAAAACATTTGAAGATAGTACCAAACTTTTAAAAAAAATATATAATAATGTAAAGACTCGTGGCAGATCAGAAGATCGCACAGAATATTAAAAAACTGCAAAGAATAACTTAAGTGAAAAAAAGGGAAAAGTTAAAGTATGACAGGGATCTAGTCAGAAATGCAAAAAAAAGTAGCAAGACTATCTGTACGTGTGTAGATGAGCTTTGGTAAGACAGAAAGTCAGTCTGGGGAATTACTGATGGAAAATAAGAAGGTGACAGATGAACTCAAGAGATGTTTTGCTTTAGCTTTCACTATACAGGGTATAAGTGACATCCCAGAAATGGCTGCAACTAATCAAATGGGAAGGAGGAAATCAAGAAAATTCCACTTCCACAGCGATTGGGAATCGTTACTGAGCAAATTTTTGCAGCAACTGGTTGACAAGCCCCTAGGTCCTGACTGACTTCATCCTAAAGTCTTCCAAGAAATGGTTAATGTGATAGCTAATGTATCCGTTTTAATTTTGCAAAATTCCCTAGATTTAGGGAATATCCCATCAGATTGGAAAATTGCAAGTGTAACATCTTTATTCAAAAAAAAAAAAAGAGGGAGATAGGAAGCAGGAAACTACAGTTCAGTTACAGTAATTAGGAAACCTAATAAAATGCTTTGTTTTTTGCGAGGGAAACAGAATACAAGACAGAGATAGTAGGAACTGCCGATGCTGGAAAATCTGAGATAACAAGGTGTAGAGCTGGATGAACACAGCGGGCCAAGCAGCATCGGAGAAGCAGGATAGCTGACGTTTTGGGTCTCGACCCTTCTTCAAAAAATATCTGAAGAAGGGTCCAGACCTAAAACGTCAGCTTTCCTGCTCTTCTGATACTGCTTGGCCTGCTGTGATCATCCAGCTCTACACCTGGTTATCTCAGAATACAAGACAGATGCTTTGGTTAAGAAAGACATTGGTAGAGACATCTAGAGTACTGTAGGCTTTTTGTTTCCTTATTTAAGGAAAGGTGTAAAGACTTTGGAAGCAAAGATCCTTGAGACGTTCTGGAAGTATGTATATGGAAAGGATGGTACTCTTCTGGGAGAATCATGAAATAAGGGGGTGTCCATTTACTACAGAGATAAGGAAAATTCTTTTCTCACAGAGGCTCCAGTCTGTTTGGAACTCTGTTCCTCAAAAGCTGATGAAAGGAGAGACCCTGAGTATTCGTAAGACAAAATCAGATAGATTCTTAGAAAGCAAAGGTTATCAGAGTAGACAAGAGTATGGAATGAGCCGATCAGTCATGAACTTACTGAATGGCAGACCAAGCTGAAAAGACAGTGACTTTCTCTTGCTCCTAATTTATACATGTATATGCAAAATATTCAAAGTTCTGACAAAATATCAGACCTGAAACATTAACTCTGTTTCTAGCCACAAATGCTGCCCAAGACCTGTCGAGTATTTCCAACACTCTTTTTGTTATTATTTCATATTTCAGCATCCTTGGCATTTTGCTTTTGCAAAATTTCCAATTTAATTCGGGCAAAATGGAACTTATTCACTTGAGAAAAAGAACATTGGGTCTTAACAGGGTCACAAGTCCAACACTTTTCAGTAGTAATACTAAAACTTGCTCTTTCCTACTGGAAGAATTTTGTTAGATCTTGGCTATGGAGCTGGATAGCACAGCACTTGGCCATGAAAGAGGGGTCAACAGGTACACTTCTACACTGTAGTACCAGTACTGCCATTTTATCACCATTGCAACTCGTGAGCCAAGCATGCTGATAGGCATAATATAATAAAGTTTAAATATAATCTATTTTAATCACCATATAGGAATATGATTTCAGGTTATTACCCTTCTTAGTGATTCATGTAATATTTTAGAACAAACTACATCACAATAAACACAATTATTTGGGAGGCGATGACCTAGTGAACTGTTAATCCAGAGACCCAGATTATGTTAAGGGGACCCAGGTTCGAATCCCACCACGGTAGATGGTAGAATTTGAACTCAATAGGCATCTGGAATTAAGAATCTAATGATGACCATGAATCCATTGCCGATTGTCAGAAAAACCCATCTGGTTCACTAATGTCCTTCAGGGAAGAAAAACTGCCACCCTCACCTGGTCTGGCCTACACGTGACTCCAGGCCCACAACAATGTGGTTGGCTTTTAACTGCCCTCTGGGCAATTAGGGATGGGCAATAAATGCTGCCTAGCCAGCAACGCCCTCATCCCATGAATGAATAAAGAAAAACGAATTTCACAGGTGACTTTTGAGGCAAGCTTTCAGGTTGCATCAGGAACAGCAAGAGAAAGCTGTTTAGGCTCAATTCCTCCTTACATTGGTGCTGGTCAAGAAAGTTGCAGCACAGTTGGTACATAAACTATATATATCCTATATTGTAGATGACCTCACCCTGCTCACTGCAAATTTTCTGGCAAAAGAGTGAACCCAAATATGGAATGAGAGGAGAGAGAAAATGATTAAGAACCTCAAATTTCAAATTGGACATTTCTATACATAAAAAAAAAACCATGAAAACTTTCATACTCCTGTGTTACTGCTGGCGAAATCTGGCACATTGGCCTTCACGTAGAAGACTGAAGACCACGGTTTATAGAAAGAACATGCTTTATGAGAACTCTAGCTTATATGCAAGCAAGAATGAACGATAAAATAGAAGGTTTAACTGAGAAAAATATGAAGAGTGACAACTGATTAGGGAATATTGTTATGCAGCTCTAATGTTGAAGGAAAACTAAGCAGAAAACCAAGAGTAAAATGATTGGCCTTGATGGCTTACAAGATTACTGGAAGGGTTAGTGTGGTTAAATACACTCAGTTACCAAGTGAAGATTTCATCATCTCATCACTAGCCCCTTTCTGAAAGTTGATGAGAGTTTTATTTAAACCATTTCCAAAATTAATTTGGATTTAGAAGCCTTTTTGCACGATTGCCACCTTTAATATCCTCATGCAAAATAAACTCACCAATACAACTTGCAATCCATAGGCAGTGGTGATCATACTTTGCCACACAACAATCACAAACAACACAGTGCTTGGATCGGAGGGGTTTGCGGATCTGAAAGTCAACAAACATATCTTAACAAACCAATCTTTTTCAAATCTTCTGCTAACTACATTGCCAAGGTTTTCAGTGCAGGGGTGATAAGTTACATTGATGACAAAAAAATACAATCATGTGAGTTTAATGGAAAAGTGCAGGGAGCATACCTAAAAAGGTGAGGTGTCAACTTGATACAAAAAAAAACAGGACTAATTGCATAGCATCCAGCAAACAGTGTGTGTAAGAATAATCACTGACAACCAATAGAAGAGATTAAAACCCTCTACAGTCCTGCCGCATCCAGATGTGATTGGTATCGGATATTTGATCACCTAATAGGAAGAGGTGGCTACACAGAAATCCCAATCCTCAACCATGAGGGACCTCAGCACATCAGTCCGAAAGACAAAGCTGATACGTTTAAGTGGATGATCCATCTTAGCCTCTTCCTGAAGTCTCCAGTATCACAAATTCAATCTACTCCATGTAATAACAAGAACAGTTGAAAGTACTAATACTGCAAAAACTATGGGCACTGGCAACATTCTAGCAATAGCACTGAGTACTTACGTTTATGAACTAGGTGTGCCATTAGTCAAAGTGTTCCACCAAAGCTACAACACTTATTTACCGAGTAATGTGAAAATTTGCCCAGATAGGTCCTATACACAGCAAGACAGACAAATCCAACCTGCTCAATTATTAGCCTATCAGTTTTCTCTCAATCATCAGTAAAGAGATTGTTGATAATGCTGTCAAGCAGCACTTGCAAAGGTTTGACTTCTGCTCAGACCACTCAGCTCCTGAGACTATTAAACCTTTGGTCCAACTATGGCCATAAGAATTGAACTCGAGGTGAAGCCAGAATGACTGCCCTTGAAACCAAGGCTGCATTTAATACAAAAACAGAAATTGCTGGAAAAGCTCAGCAGGTCTGGCAGAATTTGTGAAGAAAAATCAGAGTTAACGTTTCAGGTCCAGTGACCCTTCCTGCATTTGATACAGTTTAGCATCGATAAACTCTAGCAAAACTGCAGTTAATGAGAATCTGATGGGGAAAACTCTCTGCTCATTGCAGTCATACCTAGCACAAAGGAAGATGGTTCTGATTACTACAGGTCATTTATCAGTGCAAGACCATCTCTGCAGGAGTTCCTCAGGGGAGCATCCTAGACCCAAACATCTTCATCGATGACCTTTCTTCCATTATAAGGTTAGAAATGAGGATATTCACTGATGATTGCACAATATTCAGCTGCATTCACCAGTCTTCAGATAATAGAACTATTTGTGTCTGTATGCAGCAAGACCTGGACAATATTCAGGTTTGGGTTGACTAGTAAGGAAGTAAAGGTAAAGCTGCCATAGTCTGACCAAACCATAGGGCTTCTTTCTCATGAGAGACAGAGATGTCCGGTGGTGATTTAATCCAAGGATCACCATGCCTCAGGCGAAGGGAGAGGTTGAGATGGACAGTAACCTCAGTCAGTGTGGGAATTCAACAAAGACTGTTGGCATTATTCTGGATCACAAACTGGCTGACCAGCCTACTGAGCTAACAAATCCCAAATATGTAAGTAATGTCCATAATGGTCAGCTCAAAGAAGAGAGAAACTAACCATCAATGATATTACCATCGTTGAATCACCCACTATCAACTTGTTGAGGTAATCATTGATTAAAAACTGAACTGGACCAGCCTTATAATCTGTGGCTACACGAGCAGATCAAAAGCTTGGAATTCTGCAGCAAGTAACTCACCTTCTGAATCCCCAAAATCTGTCCAACATCTACAAGGCACAAGTTAGGAGTGTGATGGAATACTCCCCACTTGTCTGGATGGGTGCAGATCCAACAACACCCAACAAGCTTGGCATTATCCAGGACAGAGGAGCCTGCTAGACTGCACCCCAGCTACAACCTTGAACAATCACTCCCTCCACCATTGATGCACTTCATCTGCAAGGTGCACTGCAGTAACTCACCAAAGTTCCCTGAATGCACATTCCAAACCGCTGACATTTAACACTGAGAAGGACAAGGGCAACATGGGAACATTTCTGCCTGCAAGATGTTCTTTAAGTTGCCTTTCCATTCTGACTTGGAACCATAACCACCCTTCCTTCCAAGTTGCTGCATCAAAATCCTGGAATTCCCACCCTAACAGCATGTTGGGTGTACCCATATCAAGTGGAGATCTAGGCCCGAAACGTCAGCCTTCCTGCTCCTCTGATGCTGCTTGGCCTGCTGTGTTCATCCAGCTCTGCGCCTGGTTATCTCAAGTGGATTGCAATGGTTTAAGGCGGCACTTCACAATCACCTTCTCAAGGTCAATAAAGAATACACAATAAATGGTGGCCTTGCTAGCAATACTGAACCCATGGATGAAGAAAAAAAAATCACATATCTCTAAGAATCAGGAAGTGGGTACAATTCAATAATGTTACACTCACTGACAAAAATTCGTGAACAATTCAAAAAACAAAAGAACTGCAGATGTTGGAAATCAGAAATTGCTGGAAATAGTCAACAGTTCCAGCAGCACCTGAAGAAGGGCCACTGGGCCCAAAACATCAACTCTGCCTCCTCTCCACAGATGCTGCCAGATCTACCGAGTTTTTCCTGCAATTTCTGATTTTATTTAACTACTATTATTTGAGATACAAATGATCATTTTACATGTGTTTACTGTAGGTGAGATACAACGTACAGTAGTTGTGGCTGGCTTTATTTTTCGAGGAAAATCACGTCAACCGATGACAAATTTACACGTTAATACCGATGAGTCTGGCAGTATTAGACTTGTTAAAACTGCAAAAACATCAACCGTTGATCTTGTCAGAAGTATTTGCTGGTGAAGAATCCAGCTGATGCAATACACTGCCTCTTCAGGTGGCCACAGATTTCTCATCAGGGCAGCTTTTACCTTTTCAAGTCCACTGATGAATAGCTACACCATAGCTGACAGTGAAGGATAAACTGTATAGCACTTCTCAGGTCATATAACTTCTTCACTACACGACAGTCTATGTGGGCATGGTATACATAATGGATGATAAATCGACATACAAGCTTTGTTGCAAATGCTAATATTGAGTTAGTACAATGTTTCTTGATATCTGCTTTCGTATGCCCAAGGAGATGCAGTTAGAAATCCTACCATCACATGAAATGCAATTACTTTATGCTGCCATTTAATGTTTACTATTAATAAATTGGACTTATAGTTAATAGTTTAACTTACTTCCGATAAGAGGGTTTTATCTGTTGAAATCGGAGAGAACACAAGAGAGCCACGCCAATTCCAGAAAGCTAATGCAGTAGTGATAAAAATCTATATTTAACTCAAAGGCAACACTACTGTAACTAGATACTGTACAAAGCCACACTGCAGTTTGTTGAGAGCAGGAAGGCTCAGAAGAGTAGTTGCTGGCAATGAGCATGAGAGAAGGATCAGAATACAGCCTATAAATAATTTCTCAGGTTTATGCTATTGGCGAATTAAAAATTATTGATGCGATTGAGGGTAAACCAAAACTTTTAAAAAAGGCCATTTTGTAAGGGTGCCAAAAAGCATATTTTAAAGCAAGGACTCAATGAAGAAGGGATGTAAAGGATAGGGGTGGGAAAAATTAGTACAAAGGGAGATGGTGGAAGGAAGAAAATAACTGACAACCAAATATGTTGTAGAGATTCTTTTCAGAAGTTTGACTTAGATCTGGAGCCATGCTGTAATTGCTTTTGAATGTCATTTTTAGCAGAAATACAAAATTGTCAGTGGCTGTTCCAGGGTAATTCTACTGAAAAATAGATCACTTGTTAGTAGTCTGACTATTTTTGTTTTGATTGTCACTTACAAGACATCTGGTACAGAAGACCCTTGGATCCAGGCAGTCAGTTTCTGCAAGTGCCACAACAGTCTGGAAGTACATTAGGAATATTAATGCAATATATATAATTCTAAGAAATTTTACACACGACTTTTAGGAAATTAGCACTAGTCATGAATTAGTTTATTTTGTACTTTCTAACAAGATGATGCTGAATGCTACATGGCAGGTTGGAAATAGCATAAATTACTTCATGTGGCAAAAACCTTAATATTTTTCCACAGAAATTTTAGTCTCATCTACTGCAAAGGCATAAAAGGAATATCTGTGTGGTCTAATTTCATTACTCCATGAGTTTCATAGATTAACTGGTTGTTTGCCTTATTGCTGACTGTTGGACTTTGCAGTGCATCAGTTCTCTACTGCATGCACCTACACTTTCAAAGTAACTAATTGGCTATGAAGCAATTGGAACATTGAGAATGCAAAAGGCATTAAACAAATGCAATCCTTTTCCTTCATCTATCATTTTGGTAATCTCATCAGTTTCAATTAAAGGTTCAGAAGGCAAACAAACAGTCATTTCCACAATATTTGCACTTTTAAAAAGTCACAACAATCATGCAGGAAAACCAGAACTAAGTAGAAGACAGCAAGGTCTCACAAACATTGATTCTCAAGTATCTTTACCCTGTTTTTCTCTTGCTCTGAAACCTGGAGATAACCAGGGCCTACTGTCCAAGTTTTATAAAAATAATAGATGCAGCCTGTAATGCTGAGGGCAAATGGAATCTGAAATCTTGAGTCAGGCATATGTACATTCTCAGTTAAGGACTTTTCAGTATAGTTGCATACAAATATAATCTTATACTGCATAAGTAACCCACAAGACAAACACTGAAAGAATAACTAGGGTGGAAGAGATGAGACCCTAGTAAATCAAATATTCTAGGTACATATCACAGATGAACTTGCCAAATTCACAGAAGATATTTCAAATTGTCTACGCTGAAGAAAAATTAACCTATCCCATTCGAGAAACTGTACTAAGGAAATCACACAAAAATAGCAACAAGATGAATTATAAAAATCACGTAGAAATACTCACAAATGAAACCAAATTAAACAGAATTGGAAAACAAAATTAAGAAAAGAAATTCATCTGATGAAAATATAAATACAAGAGGCAAAATTGGATTAGTGCTAAGCAAGCCGGAAGCAGAAGACAGGAAGAGAGCTGTGGACTATGAACGACCAAAGCTCAGCAACCAACTACAAGCATTATTAGGTGTCTGGTCTGACCCTGAAAGAATCATTTCAACTTCCATGTGTCTCTTCAAGATGCAAATATTACCGGTATTGCTATTTGAAACCAAATAGACTCAATATATTATTTGTGGTTCCAGATCACATCCTCATTTGTAATTTTGCTTAAAATGCCAAGCTAATGAAAATGTTTTGCTGAAATCTAATTGGAACAAATCATCTCCTAGAGACTACAAGAGGAGTAAATAAGCAATCACTGTTGCTTGAGTTCATCGCACCAACACATCTGCAATTTCACAAAAGGGATTTTGAGGTGGATGGAATATTTTAAAAAGTAAAATTAAAAATATTAAATGAATTTTTCAGGGATTTTTAAAAATATTCTCATTGGCTGTGGATGTTGCTAGCTCATTTCCCACACCTAAATTGACCAGAGGGCAATTAAGAGTCAACAACATTGTCATACATCTGAAGTCACATGTAACCAGAGCAGGTAAGGACAGCAAATTTCCTTCTGTGAAGGATACTAATGAACCAGATGGGTTTTTACAACAATCAACAATGGTTACATGCCATCATGCTATTTTATTGAATTCAAATTATATTATCTGCCACGCAAGCCTATAACCCCAGGACAGAACATTCGCCTGAGCTTCTGGTTTACTATTCTAACAACATTGCCAATTCACACATTGCCACCCGTCAGAAAGCAGACACTTTAACAGGTCTTCAAATAAGAACAGAACAGCAGAGACGGTCTCTTGTTTCTTATCATGAGGAAACTATGAACAACTCCTTTTCAGATCAAAAGTCAACTTCTACTGGAAAATCTTCGCTGTGGACAATGTTCCTTGCTAACAGGCTCACTATGGGGAGAATCTTCCCAGGTACTAGATAATGTGGCATTGACAAGGAAATTGAAAAAATTGCACAAGGTTAATGAGGAGTTTCCTGACATTGAGACCAGAAAGCCCCAGTTTCCAAACTAAGTGTTGAACAGCAAGGCAAGATCCTTGCTAGTGAGTGGAAACAGGCCTAGTTTCACATATTAACCCCTCATTATTAGTCACCCGCATCTCATTTCTATGCGGTATTCATTCTCCTACACGCTGAATTGAAATTGGATGATGACATTTCCTGACATGAAAGTCAGAGCAGATACTCAGTGACCCCAAGATAGTAAGAACTACCGATGCTGGAGTCAGAGATAACACAGTGTGGAACTGGAGGAACACAGCAGGCCTCCAGCTCCACACTGTTATCTTGTTCTCCAGCATCGGCAGTTCTTACTATGAGTGAGTTATACCCCCACTGCGAAGCTTCTACTAGGGATGTCTACCTTGAAGAAGTTATCTTCCTCCCTCCAGAAAGACCTCAGTGGATCTCTCTCCCACTGCAACCCTCTGGTTTTCAGAGCCCGCTTCCCCCTCCCTCATTTCTGAACCTGAAGTGTCAGCTTTCCTGCTCCTCTGATGCTGCCTGGCCTGCTGTGTTCCTCCAACTCCACACTGTGTTAACGTGGTGACTACAGCTTGCTGCTTGCTTCCAGGGACCTCCATCTTGGACACCAGCATTCAACATCTCAGAGCATGCTCTAAGGGGAGGAACTGCACGCATCCCGCACCACAGACCTTCACTTCAGACACGGACCAGCTTCACTTCACCTTCATGCCACATCTCTGAACCACTTACAAGATAGTTCTACACTTCAATGCTGCATCAGAGTACATGAGCAGCTGTCACTGCAATGTTACTGCAAGTATCTGTCCGCATAGGAACGGGCACTTTTCTCATAGATGCAGCCTGGTACAATCAATCAATCTCAAGGATCCTTGCTTGCTCTCTTCGCATTCACTTATGCCACACCCATAAGACCATAAGTTGTGGGAACAAAAGCACATCATTCAGCCCATCGGGTTTCATGGCAGCTCTGATAATCCTCAAATCCACTGTCCTGCCTTTTCCCCATAACCCTTCATTCTCCTACTGATTAAAAATCTGCCTATCTCACCCCCAAACATACTTGGTGGCCCAGCCTCAAAAGCCCTCTGCCGTAATGAATTCCACTAATTTCAGTACCCCAAGAGGAAAAAAAATTGCCCATCATTCTTCTAAACTCCAATGAGTACAGACCAAATATACTCAACTTCTCATAAGATAGTTCCACCCATTCCACACACACACCCCTCCTCCCCCCACCCCCCGTCCCCCGTCCTAGATTTACTTCTTTATTGACGACTTCACTTTTTAAAAAGAGATGTTAAATTGGCAGTTTTCCAATCCACTGGGACTTCTCCAGAATGTAAAGATTCTGGCAACATCACTACTGGTGCATCCACTATCTCTGTAGCCACTTCCTTTAATATCCTAGTACGCACCCTGTCAGGTCCTGCAGACTTAGGGATTTAGACTCTTTAGCTTCCTTCGCACCTTTTCTCCTTGAAGTTGTTGCTGTATTTATTTCCTCTTCTCCTTTTGCCTCTTGATTTTGAAAAGTTATCAGCATCTCGTACTGTGAAGGCTGCTACTAAGTATTTATTCAACTCCCGTTTATGGGTGCGTTATATGCATGAAATAACTGCCTGTTTCATGCATAATGACATTGATTACACTTAGTCATTTCAAGAAACAGGTCTATGCATTATAGGGAACATTCAAAGCTTGTTTATTTTCCTTGATAGTTGGAGATGCAGCATTTGCTCTTTTCACGTACCTGTACACAAGGAATAGCTGCTTAGCTGGTTTCAGTAGTGAGACTTGTTGAAAATTATATTTCAAAAAACACTCCATTTTCTGTAAAAAGATGTGAAGGTTAGGTGGACCGGCCATGGAAAATGCAGCATTTCATTTTCTGAAGAGGGGTCTAGACCTGAAACGTCAGCCTTCCTGCTCCTCTGATGCTGCTTGGCCTGCTGTGTTCATCCAGCTCTACACCTTGTTATCTCAGGTAGGGGGGGTGGTTTTTGGTGGGATGCTTTTCGGAGGTCAGTGTGGACTTGATGGGCCGAATAGCCTGCTTTCACATTGTAGTGTTCTATGATTCAATGAAGTTGTAAAAGGCACAAAATAAATGCAAGTTCCTTTGAAAATTAACTTTTTATTTAAGTGAATGAGGGTATTAATCTGTTCAGAATTTCTAGCTAAGTTTACATATGAGTTAAGTCATCAGGAAGATTTAACATTGCTGACTTGCTCCATGAACAACATTCCAAAAGCACTAAACTATACATGCAACTGAAGACAAACAAGCTAACTGCCTGAGCATTGCTTTATATATGCTTTTCTTATTGAGTGTGATCATTTGAACAGTGATTCTGTTCGAAAGCAAAAAAATTAATCACCCAGTCATTAAGACACTTAAATTATTTCATATTGTATGGTGATTATTTTTGCTTCGATTATTTCTTTAAAAAGGATATCAGGTAAGTACCGGACAAACCACGTGATGACCATCCAAAAAAGCGATGCTGACAGGAATGCCAAAGGGAAGTAGCTGTATGTCTGCATAGTTATAAAACGCCTATAGGAGGGGAAAGTATAAGTAAGTAATAAGTGGTACAAAACAGAAACTGCTGGCAAAACTCAGCAGCTCCGGCAGCATCTGTGGGGAGAAAGCAAAATTCACATTCGAGACCGGTAACTCTTCACTAGATCTCCATCATCTGCAGTTCTTTGTTACAGTTAAGTAGTAAGTGCTAATTACTTTTGCTTGTTTGTTCCTCTGACAACTATCTATTCTACCTTCCTGTGGGTATTCAGCCTGCAGGGACTAGGGGTCCATAAAGCAGATTATGGCCACATTGCATTAGAACCCTCAGACCAAGCATTATGGCCCAGAAACACAGATTAAAATCTCACTACAGGAATTTAAATTTAATTGAACAAATTTGGGATTAAAAAATATCTACTATGATGACTATTTAACTACTGAATTGTTGCAAAAACTCATTTGGTTCACAAATCATATCCTTTAGGGAAGTAAATCTTCCATCTTTACTTGGTTTAACCCATATGTTATTCAATACCACAGCATTGTCCTTGTCTCTCAATCTCTAAACAGTTTTGCAACTGCACTCAAGAAGGTGGCATCTTCTCAAGGGTGATGAGAGATGGGCCATAAATCCAAGTTTATTTTTAACACAGGAAATATCTTGCACAACAGCCCATTCTTCACTTACAGTCCAAGTAGCAAGTTCCAGCAGGTTACACAAAGTTCACCTCATTCAGGTACAAACCATGAAAATTAACTTACTTTTCTCTCACTAAATCAGAGGCATTTGAAACCAATGGTAGTGCCATACACTGCTACCTTAGCAAGCACCAGCAAACTCAGCACAGACTGGGGATCAAAACTGGCATTTCCTACTTCACTTGGCTATGTCATTCACACTCAATCAGCTGACTTGTCAAGAAGCTATATTTCATCAACAATGTCTTACTTAATATAACGAATCAGCTTGAAAACTCTTTACTTCCCATCAAGGTGCTGCATTATACAGACCAGGTGCATGATCAGACCTGAAAGACAACAACAATCCTGGCAGGTCCTGCTAGTAGCAAGCACTTCCACCTGGGGTGAACAGGAGGAGACTATATGTGGGATGCATAACTAATGAGATGTGCTTGGGACGATAGTGTACGTAACCTTGCTGGGCCTCACAGAGAGAAGGCCTCTAAGAAACTCCACTAAATTAGCTGATACCTTGTAAAGGTTAGCCACATGTGTTTACTGCAACAAGACATAATTAAGATTTGACTCCGAGCACTCAGATTGGAAGCATTTTTTTAAAACTTCCCTAAATTTGCAATTGCCACTAAGTTTCTGACCCGTGTCAGTCGAAATGCACAAATTGAACGTTTTAAATCATCAATACTGTGAAAATCGGACTGCTTTGGATTCAGCTACATGGATTCATAGAGTCATACAGAAAGGAAACAGACCCTTTGGCCCAACTCATCAATGCCAATCAGATTTGCTAAACTGAAATTGTTCCATTTGCCTGCATTTGGTCCATTTCACTTTAAACGTTTCCTATTCATGTACCTGTCCAAATGTCTTTGTAATGTTGTAATGAAACTGGCCTCTACCACTTCGTCTAGCAGTTCATTCTATACACACACCACCCTCTGCATGAAGAAGTTGCCCCTCAGGTATCATTGAAATCTGTCCCCTCTCACCTTAAACCTATGCCCTCCAACTTTGGACTCCCCTATCGTAGAGAAAAGACCTTGGCTATTCACCTTATCTAGGCCTCTCATGATTTCATAACCCTCTATAAGGTCACCCCTCAGCCTGCTACGCTACAGGGAAAAAACCCCAGCCTTTCCAGCCTCTCTTTACAACTCAAACCCTCCAGTCCCGGTAACATCCTTGCAAATCTTGTTTTGCACCCTTTCCAGTTTAACAACCTCCTTCCCAGTTTAACAACCTCCTTCCCAGTTTAACAACCTCCTTCCCATTAGAACGGGACTCCAAATGTGGCCTTACCAACGCCTTTCAAAATAAAGGATGTAAGGAAACATTGCTTAAATATTTTTCTGATCAAACGATCAATTTTGCTACACACACAGCAAATTAGACAGTTTGAGATTTATGTGGAAATTCTTGACATCCTTGCAATAGCTGTTGCACAAATGTGTTGCACTTGTGAAAAGAATATCTGACCATCTGCTGAACCTGAAAAACTGAATAAATGCTGCCCTCATCTGCTTGTGCGGCAGACAAACAGGCTAGTGAAGTTTTCAAAGTAAAGGCTCTTTAAAAAGGCTTGATAACTGAACTCTTAAGTCATAATTCCAATCTGTTTCGCCCTTGCTACACTGTTGGAGTCATTTAAAGCTTGCAATTTATTTTTCAATTATTCTAAATCATCCTTTTGGCATTTCAAACTCTCTGTAAGTAGTTTTTTATCTTGTGTTGGTAATAAAATGTGTCAGCAAGCAACATGGAGTAACATGAAACAATTTATTTCTAGTTCTGCATTTTTAAGTTGAGAAAATTCAGCATTAGTTGACATTCAAGTCCCTCAGGAATCATTCATTAATTGATTTCCTTAAGACAGGAATGAAGAGGTTCCTTGCTTATTATATTAAAGGCATCAAGGGTATGGACAGAAAGCAGTAATATGGCACAACAACAAATTACTGGAAAAAGTCAGGAGGTCTGTAGCATCTGTGGAGAAAAATCAGAGTTAACGTTTCAGGTCCAGTGACCCTGCTTCAGAACTGGGAATATGGCAGTGAGTTGAATGCTCAGCCATGCTCAAATTGAATGATGGAGCAGACTCAAAAGAACTGAATGGCTCCTAGTTCCTACGCTTAATGTGGAGACTCAAAATGTTAAGGCTCTGCTCTGTGGGAGATCAATATCAAAACTGCAATATCCCATTCTTGATATGTAACCATATGAGGCAATTCTTTAACATAAAGATGATGAGACCTAAAAATCAAATTGTAATCTGCCGCTGATTAAGACAATTCAAAGAGCCAATTCACCAATGTATATCAAATGTATATCATTTTTAAAATTTCTTCACCTGATGAGGAAGTCATTGACCAGGCCAGCATTTATTGCCTGTCCCTAATTGCCCAGAGGACAGTGTGTCTGGAGTCACACGTAGGCCGGACCAGGTAAGGATAGAAGTTTCCTTCCCTAAAGGATATTAGTGAACGAGATGGGTTTTTCTAACAATCGACAATGGATTCATGGTCATCATTGGGCTCTTAATTCCAGATTTGTCTTCAAAAATTTAAATTCCTTCATCTGCTGTGGCAGAATTCATACCCAGGTCCCCAGAACATTTCCTGGGGCTCTGGCTTAACAGTCTGCTAATAATACCACTAGGCCATCACCTCTCATATACGATAAAATAAGTGCCTTCTTTTAATTTATGTAAAATAAATCAGAGCATAGAAGTACACACATTGTACCAGTGCTTGCAAAAAACTTTTTCCCACTGTGACCCGACTTTTAGACTTGAAAACTGTCATGACCCCTTGGTGAGATGGGTATGTTTATTTAGTCAGCCATTGTTGCCTGGATTTTGCAAACCCCACTTTGGGAAGCCCCTTTATTATACCAAAAGCATACATATGATAAGTTTCTTTCCTTGGTTCTGCTGTCTTGTTAGGTGTCCCTTTACATAAGAAATTGCAACAAGATCTGGAGATTATGGATAATTTCAATTTTTGAACATTTAACTCAATTTAAAATTACTAACAGCCAAGCGCACAGAAATACATTCTGCATTAAATTTATGTAACATGCTTCATTGTAAAAGTAACAATGTGCCAAGAGCTGTACAATCTGCAAGACAAAACCAGACCAGTTGTATAGCTCAATCCTGAATGTCCCAGATTTATCACATTTCCTACTTTGAGAACAATATTTCTCACTGTTAAAATGTATCTGCAATGTTTAAACAAATTATGGCAAAATTCTTCATTTATTAATATAGCCGTACAAGGGCCATTGTAAACAAAGAGAACAGCTTCACCATTACCGGTGGTGAATGAGCTCGTAAAATCGTTCTACCCTTTAGAATGCTATTGGGTGTTTCACAATTTTTTTGTCTTTGCAGGGTACTACTCCAGTCACCGAGTGTGCCTCGCATCCCCATCTGAAACCTCAGTCATATCAGTATCCACATCATGTCATTGTGATCAGCAGACTTGCAGAAGAAGGGATTGGGGTGGATACAGAGAGCGTTAGTGGAAGAAGGTGAAGGGATGACCGAGTCTGACCTTGCTACCCTTCATAGTTTACACTCATGCATTGATATTCCTCATCACTGGGCAGGTAAATATAACCTTTCTTCACCTTCCATTCCTTATGCTGTTCACCCCCAACCCAGAAGCATGGAACCAACTTTAACACAGTCTTCTATCATCCCACCTGGAATCAGGTGGTTTAGTTTAAAATTAATAACCAGAGGTGGGAGACACAGGACAGCAGGAAGAACCACAGGCATTTTCTTATATTGCATTGTGTATGTGAATTCTAGTGGCAATTAGAGAAGGTCAATGAGCAAGAAATAGCACTTACCTTATCACAAGCTGTATTACAAGCCAAGTAGAAACAAATAATATGCCCTTCAGAAGCCAGGAGTCAGATTCCATATCTGCTATGTAGCCAGTCACCCATATCACTGCCACTGCCATCAAAAACAACAGGAGAAGCTGCGGTTCAAGAGATAGTCCAATCAATAACTCTTTTTACTATTTTGCATTGATCTTCCTTTCACAAATATCCTACAGTACAAAGTAAAAAAAGGAGGAATTTTTAAAACATGTAACTTTCTCGATCAGTATGTTTCCAGACCAATGCGGGGAACACTAATGCTGGATCTCCTCTGGATGAAATGAAGGAAGGCCTCGTGATAGTGGAGAAGTATTTACGAACTTGTGGCCACAATATCATGAGGTTTACAGTAATATCGGAATGGGGCAAGGAAAAAAATCAGAAGCATGGCAACGCTCAACGAGTGGAGAGATAACTACAGTGAGCTGCAAAGCCATCTAGCCAAATGGCTTGTAATCAAAGATTGCAAGTCAAAACAACAAACAAGCATTACAAAACCTTCAGAGGAAGTGGCTTTGGTGCAGACCTATCAAATTCCCACGAGGAAGGGCAGCCAAAACTCAGGCTCCCAATGCAAAATTAAACAGCATAAAGAGTTATGTTAGACATCAAATTCACAATACAGGAGGGAATCAAGCTGAGTACAGAAGAAAACCAAAGAACTGAAACAGAGTGAATCAGAGACTGGGGGCCAACATAGAAGGAAACCCAAGCATCCTTTACAGATTTAGAACAAAAAGACAGTAGTCAAAGGAAGGGTCGGAGTGCCAATGGAGACCAAAACAGAGATATTGGGAAAAAGTGAGCATGGTTAAAGTACTAAATGAGCACTCTGCACCTGAATTTGCTCGGGAACAGCATGTTACCAATGTCACAGTAAAAGGGAAGGCAGAAGAAAAACTGGATAGGACAAAAATAGGTAAATAGATTGAACTTTAAATGTTGTCAATGATTAACGCAGAGATGTCACCTAGCCTAGATGGGATGCATCCTGGGTTGTCAAGGGAATAAGGGTAGAAGGTATCGAGGCTCTGGCCAGAATCTTACAGTCTTTGTTGGATATAGGAGTGGTGCCAGAGGATTGAAAGGCTATACCTTTGTTCAAAAAGACTTTCAAAGTCAATAAGCTGCAGCAAAATTAATTGACACTTAATTAATAAATCAAAGCATAGATTTGTTAAAGATATATCAGATTTGACAAAGCTAATTGAGTTAATTGTGAACATACAGGGTTGATTCTGATACTACAGTTCATGTCACGTATGTGGACTTTCAAAAGATCTTGAACAAAGTGCTATGATCAATTTGACAGGAAAATTGAAGCCCTAGGGAATAAAGAAGCAGTTGTGCCATCGATATGAAACTGGCTAAAAGCCAAAAAGTAAAACTGAGTGGTTATTTTGAAGGAGATGGTAGGAACTGCAGATGCTGGAGAATCTGATAACAAGGTGTAGAGCTGGATGAACACAGCAGGCCAACATCAGAGGAGCAGGAAGGCTGACGTTTCTGGCCTAGACCCTACAGGTAGTATCCCAAATGATCAGTGTTGGGACCATTGTGTTTTTTAAATATATAATGATTTGGATAGACAGAATATCACACCAGAGTTTGCAGATGACACAAAACTCAAAAACATAAACAGTGATAGAACAGTAAAATATATAGACGGCAGATCAAATTTCTTCTTTATTGAGGCCTCTGCCAAAGGCAGGTCTGGTCCAAAGCACCATGGGTAGGGTAAAGAGGCAGGTCCTAAATTATTCCCAACCAGAATGCAGATCAATTGCCATGTTTTTGGCAACAATCTGATCCGGACCAACAATCCAGCCAACAAGTGCAACCTGCAGGTCTCACACCACAATCCACATTCTTTTCCAACTGTCCCCACCCACTCATGGATTCAGAGTTGCTGTGGCAACATACACATCGTGCGCTTGAACCATGGATGGTGATGGTACAGGCGGAAGAAATTCAATAGGGAACTGTGAAGCGATTCATTTTGACAGGAAGAACAAGGAGGAACAATACAGACAAGGAGAACAATTTAAAAGAAGGCACACAAAAAAAAAGTGTCTGTATACATTACGTATGTCTTGTGCATACAGATCTTTCAAAGTAGTAAGACAAATCGATAAGTCTGTGAAAAAGGCACAAATGATCTGTGGTTTTAAAAATTGAAGCATAAATTACACAAGGAAGCGCTTGCACTGAACATGATAAAACATTAGTTAGATCGCAGCAGGCACACTGAGGCCAATTTGCAAGACCACAATTTATAAAGTCTTGAAGATAGTACAGACAAGATTGCCTTGACTCATACCAGAGATGAAAGACTTCACTTATGTTGAGAGACGAGAGAGGTTGGGGTTTTTCTCTTTAGGTTAGAGTAGGAAGAGTAAAGTTTTGATAGGTGCGTTCAAATCAAAAATAAAGATTTGCATATATACCACACACCATACACAACCACGTCGTCCCACTGCATTACTGCCATTTGAGAAACATGTTAGCCTGTTTGTACACCACAATCTCCTACAAATAGCAATATGATAACAACTAAACAATTCTCGTTTGTGATGCTGCTTAGAGTATAATTATTGGACAGGAAACGGAGGATAACTCCTTCCTTTACCCACATTCATCCCTGGCAGCATCTCTAAAATAGACTTGTCACATCTTTCACAATCACCAAAGAGTACAGACAGAGCCTTAGTTTAATATCATGTTGGAAAGACTGCAGCTCTTGACAGGCAGCACTCCTAATTACTGCACTGAAATGTCAATTTTGATTTTTGTGAGCAGAACTAAATCCTACAATTTTGATGCTTAGGGCGCTGCCAACTGAGCCACAGCTGGAACCAATTCGCCCCTCTCCTGCACCAACCTCTCCCTTGAATGCTCCTCTCTTCCTCCATCCCCCATTGACTGATCCCTCCTCTCCTCCCATATAAAGCCACAGCCCCTCTTTTCCCCCTTCACCCCGACCCAACCTCTCTTCCACTATCACCCTCCAGCAACTCCCAAGTTATGAAATATATCTGAAAGGATGAATGCATAATAATTGCCCGAAAGGTGCCACATTCTACTATATTTTTAATTTGTGACCCACCTTGTATTTTTCAAAGATCTTGAGAACCTTCACCATAAAATGACTTCTATTTCGCTGAATACTTGCATCAAGCAGATAACGTAAGATCCAAGGATTTCGGTTTTGCTGGGCTAACCCCAGAGGAGTTTCTCCCTGGAAACAGATAAGCATTTCTTAATTTCAGCACCTTAAGGACAAATCTGATTGGCAATTCTGAGAAGGCACTAATCTCAAGAATACAATTCTACAGCCATTTAGAGAAATGGAATGATTATGCTGGTTTAGTTATCCTTAAAATAAAAGCTGGTAAAACAGTTATGCGAGGAAGAGATAAACCAATTACATACCAAAAAAGGGAACATAAAGACTGTCTTTTTTTTATTCACTTGTGAGACATGGGTGACACTGGCTTGGCCAGTACTTATTGTCTGCCTCTAGCTACCCTCGAGAAGGTGACGGTGAGCTGCCTCCTTCAACTGCTACAGGGTTCAAGATATATATATAGGTTAATTGAGTGGACAAAATTTGGCAGGTGGAGTATAACCTGGCAGGAGGAATAGAAAAACTGTATACCATTTAAACGGAGAGATTACAGAACTCAGGGACCTGGATGTGCTGGTTCAAGAACCGTAGAACATTAGCATGCAGGTACAGCAAGTGATTTGGAAGGCAAATGGGAAGTTGCTACTTATTGTAAGGGGAAATCAAATATAAAAAGTTTTGCTGAAACCATGCAGAGCTTTGGCAGGGCCATATCTGGAGTCTGTGCACAGTTTTGGTCTCCTCATTTAAAAAGGATATAAAATTTAGAAACTGTTCAGCAAAGGTTTATTTGATTCATTCTGGGATGAAGGGATTATTTTATGAATAAAATTGAACAGTTTGAGTCTTTATCTATTAAAATTAAAGAAGAAGGAGTAGTAATCTTATTGAAATATACAAGATCTTAAAAGGGACTGGAAGAAGTTTCCTCCCATGCAGGGGATCAAAACCAGAGGACACAATTTGACAATAAGAGATCTCCCTTTTAAACAGAGGCAAGGAGAAATGCTCTCTCAAAGGGTCAGTAGAATGTGGAATTCTACTAGCATGTACCAGAAGATATTGCAAGTTGGGCCTTTAACTTGATTCAAGGCTGAGTTAGGTGAATTTTTGGTGGACAAAACAGTCAACAGTTATGGGCGCAAACAGGAATTGGACTCAGATCACAATCAGATCAGCAGAAATCAGATTATCGAAATAATTGGAGCAAGTTCAAAGGGACAAATAGCCAACTCCCCCAAGTTTTGGCTGATCCACTCGCTGGTTAAATGATGTGTTCGTGCTGTCTATTTTTAAATTTTGTTCAAGGAAATCAGTCACGTTGGCAAGGTACCAAAATAGCTGCTTGCTGATCTGTACCCCAGCAGAAATAGGATTTTCACATACTTGGAAATCCAAATACACCACATCTACCAGTTTCCCTCTACTCACTATGGATGCTAGTTTGTCAAAAATACATAATTGCCCTTTCACAAAACCGTGTTGGCTCTGCCTGATCATATTGATTTGCTAAGTATCCTGGAAGAAGGCAATGAAAGGTTTCAAAGACAGGTCACAAAAAGACAAATAACCTAATTAAAATATTCAGACCAAAATCACACAAAGATAGATATTGAGGACTTACTTACCATTGCATTTTCAAGTTCAACATTAGCACCGGCATCTAGAAGTACACTCAATGCAGCCACATTTCCTGACATTACAGCCCAATGCAGTGGTGTGTTTCTGTGCACTTTATCAACAGCATTTACTGAAGCGTTTAATTTTACAAGGAACCCGGTTGGCTCAGGCCTAGATAAAACAGAGTACAGAGTGACACCAGTTGACTCAGTTAAACAAAATGCACCATTTCTGTGTGATGCCAAGATACAAATACATTATGCTTACCCTATTATTCTGCTCGCTGCCATCATTAAAGCTGTTTGTCCATTCATATCAGGTGCATCTACATCCTTAAAGTGACAAAAAAAATCTCAGTTCCAGAAAAGCAAGTTTGATTTTAATGAGAGTAAAAACAAATTTCATGGAGCTCCATCTCACAAGCATGTGAATTCAGAACAGGGAGAGCAAGGGAGATTGTGGAAGCATATTATAAAAAAGGTTCTGGGATTAGAAGTCTAATGATGGCCACAAAACTGTTGCCACTTGTCAGAAAAACCCATCTGACTCACTAATGTCCTTCAGGGAAGGAAATCTGGTATCCTTACCCAGTCTGGCCACAGGACTTCAGACCTACATCAATGTGGTTGACTCTCAACCACCCCCTGGACAATTAGGGATGGGAATAAATACTAGCCTGGTCAGCAAGATCCACATTCTGTGAATGAATACATAAAAAAAAAGTTGCACTAAATAAATAAAAGCAAAAAATCTGCAGATGCTGGAGGTCTGAAATAAAAACAAAGCGTTGACAAAACTCAGCAGGTCTGAGCATCTTTGAACAAGGGCGTTATGTTATCAATTCTCCAGTCTTCAGGCACCCCTTTCAAGTCTGGGGACGACTAGAAGATTGTGGCCAGTGTCCCATCAATTCCCTTTAAATATCAGCATCACCTCCCCCTTATAAATTCTGAACCCTTCTAGTGTCAGTGCTTCTTGCTCTGGCCTAGGCAGGACAAGTCAGCAGTATGAAAGAATAGACCCCAGTTGTCTAAAATGTGCAGTTCGAACAACACTCAAAAACTTGACACCACCCAAGAACAGGCAGCCCACTTGATTGGCACCACATCCACAAACATTCACTCCCTCCACCAGCCACGGTCAGTAGCAACAGTATATACCATTAACAAAACGCATTATAATAACTCACCAAGGTTTCTTAGGAAACACATAATCATCTAGAAGGACGAGGGCAGCAGATACATTGGAACGCTGCCACCTGCAAGTTCCCCTCCAAGTCAATCATCATCCTGACTCGGAAATCTATTGCTGTTCCCTCAGTGCTGCTGGTCAAAATCCTGCAACTCCCTCCGTAACTCCACTGTGGATCTACCTACAGCACATGGACTGCAGTGGTTCAAGAAGGCAGCTCACCACTATCTTCTCAAGGGCAACTAGGATTGGGCAATAAATGCTGGCCCAGTCAGTGATACCCTCGTCCAAAGAATGAATTTAAAAAAATCATAGGACAAAAGGATTCAAAAGATCATCTACCATCATTGCAAGCATGATACCACCACTAAACACATTGTTCCCTCACTTCTTGTCAGTTCTGAAAGGATTGTTCCGTTTGCAATATGCTCCTCTATACTTCCATCACCTGCCAGAACTCAAACCCTCCTGCTGCACTTGGAATCACAAGAGTTATATAACTTTTTTCCACTCCTACTGAGGCCCCCACCCTCAACTTTTCTCCTGCACATTGATGATTATATTTGTGCCATTTTCTTATCTCACTAGAAATTTAGTTAATTTTATTTCCAATTTCGATCCTTCACCTGTTCTCTCTACAGTACCTCCCTACCCTTCCTTGACTTTTTAAAAGCTATCTACTAATATTATTTACAAGGCCACCAACTTCCTTACTATCTTATCTATATTTCTCCACAGATAAAAGTATGGAGCTGGAGGAGCACAGCAGGCCAGGC